CGTCTCAAAAAAAAAAAAAAAAAAAAAAGTCTTAAAATGTAACATCTTGATCAGTGAAGCTGAAATTGTGTCTGGGATAGTGAATATGGCTGTAATTTAGGGTGCTAGAGGTTAAGAGATAAAGCTGAAACAACAGCTTGCTACAGCCAGAGCAAGGGAGCAAGCTAGGAGGTCACGATCTCATTACGTAATTTTGGGGATGACAACCCATTCCTTTTGTGGCCATATCCTATTAGAAGTAAGTCACTAGGTCTACCCCACCACAAGGGAGAGTACTACACAAGGCAGTGAATACCAGGGGGTGTAAGTATTATGGGTCCATTGACCAGCTGCGGTGGCTCACATCTGTAATCCCGGCACTTTGGGAGGCTGAGGTGGGAGGATCACCTGAGGTCAGGATTTCGAGATCAGCCTGGCTGACATGGTGAAACCCCGTCACTACTAAAAATACAAATATTCGCTAGGTGTGGTGGTGTGCACACCTGGAATCCCAGCTACCTGGGAGGCTGAGGCAGGAGAATTGCTTGAGCAAGAGAGGAGGAGGTTGCAATGAGCCGAGATTGCACCACTGCACACCAACCCAGCTGGCAGAGCAAGACTCTCTTTAAAAAAAAAACAAAAAAACAACAAAAAAAAAAACCATTTTAGAGGCTGCCTACTACACCTTGCTTGGGTTTTCTAGAGGTGACTAATTTCAACCTGTCAGGTTAATTTCAATCACAACCAAAAAATGTTATCTTTATTTTTATTAAGGTTTCTTGACATGCCATTCATCTCTTGGTCCCAGCCTGGGTTGTGTTCCAGGCTGCGGTATAATGCCACTCTGGTTCTTCATGAGAGCTCATCCCTTCTCAGGGTCCTTGTATTGAGAACTGATACTCGTTACATGCAATCTTTCTTGTATTCTATAACAATCTGTCAGAAAATTCTGTTGCTTATGCCTTCAAAATATATCCAAACTCTAACTACTTCCCACCAGCTCACTGTTGCCACTATGTATGGTCTGAGCCACAATCATTTCTTGCCTGGCTTATTACAACCGACTCATCACTGTTCTGATTTGGCCCCTGCTACATTTCAGGCTCCTTTCAACACAGTAGCTAGAATGATCTTGTTTAAATGATCAAGTCACCTTTCTGTTCAAAATCCTCTAATTTTAGTAAAAGATAAAGACCTAACTATGGTCCACAATGTTCTGAAAAATCTGCTTGTGCCTCCTCCATTCTTCAACATCATTTCCTACTGTTCTTCCCCCTCCCATCCTACAGCACATCAGCCATGCTTCCGTCTCAGGCCCAGTCACTGGACCGTCTCTCTGCCTAGAACAGTCTTCCCTCAGTCACTGCCCCCTCTGCTCCTTCAAATTTGTCTTCCTGTCACCTTCAAAATGAGGGCTTCCATAACCAACTAGTTTTTAAAAATGTTTTATTTTTTTTAAAATTATTTAAACATTGAATTTACTCCTTTTTTTTTAAAGACAAGGTCTGGCTCATCACCCAGGCTGGAGTGCAGTGGTTCCATCTCACTGCAACCTCCGCCTTCCAAGACCAAGTGATCCTCCCACTTCAGCCTCCAAAGTAGCTGGGACTATAGGTGCTTGCCACCACGACTGGCTAATTTTTGTATTTTTGGAAGAGATGAGATTTTGCTATGTTGCCCAGGCTGATCTAGAACTTGTAAACTCAAGAGATTTTCCCACCTGGGCCCCCAAAGTTCTGGGATTACAGGGGTGAGCCACCATGTCCAGCCCTAAGCTGTTTTTAAAATTATAGCATTTGCACCCAATACTTCCCTCTTCCCATACCTTATTTTTAATTTATCACCACCTCATGTTAATTATCATTCACAGAGTAAGCACTCCATAAATGAGTGGTGAATAATGTGTGAGAAGTAAATACCATTTATGGGGTTGAAAGGGAAGCTCTGAGAAGTGAAGGGATGGAAAGGGAAGTTCTGTAAGGCCTAACTTTGCACTTAGTCTTTTCCAGTTCCCCCAGGACAACCCTGAGGATCTGCTGTGTGCTGGGGTACAACAGTGAAAAAGGTAGTGCTACTTCCTGACTTTAGGGCTTAACTTTCTGTTTTTGGTTTCATCTTGTAACTTTAATACTGAATCTTTGTTCTTCATAGAGGACAAACAATCTTTATACAGAAATGAAAAAGCTTGGTGACCCTCACCTTCCACATCCACCTTTGTGTTTAGCCTGGATTTCTGCTTCATCTAGGCCTCTTGAGCAAGTGGCATTCACACACACACTTGTTCACATGTTTACTATTCATTACACACATTAAATATTTTTTTTCCCATTGAAATAGTCATAGAGGTCTGTACAATTGGCCTGTATAGTTTTTTCTTGCTTTCCTGGGTTTAAGTTTAAGACATCTTTAGGTTTTTTTTTTTTTGGTAGCAAAAGCAAAATACTTCTTCCCCCTCCTAATTTTCCTGTATTTGTCAATATACAGAAAGGAGTCACAAGATATCATACGACCCCCACATACAATGAAATCCTTCTTTAGTTGGGCATGGTGGCGCATGCCTGTAATCCCAGCTACTCAGGAGGCTGAGGCAGGAGAATTGCCTGAACCCAGGAGGCGGAGGTTGCGGTGAGCCGAGATCACGCCATTGCACTCCAGCCTGGGTAACAAGAGCGAAACTCCGTCTCAAAAAAAAAAAACAAAAAAACATTCACTTGGTACTAATATTCTGTCCAACCACTCTATTTTTTTCTTTTAAGAGATGGGCTCTCACTCTGTTGCCCAGGCTGCAGTGCAGTGATGCAATCATGGCTCATTGTAACCTAGAGATCCTGAGCTCAAGCAGTCCCCTCACCTTGGCCTTGGGAGGCAGCTGGGACCATGCCACCGCAGCCAGTAATTAAAAAAAATTTTTTTGTAGAGATGGGGTCTTGCTCTGTTGCCCAGGCTGGTCTCAGGAGCTTCCCACCTCAGCTTCCGAGTACTGGGATTATAGGTGCAAACCACCAAGCCTTGCCTGGTGCATTTTGATCATCATTCCTTGGTGCTAAATGTCTAACCATGTATATATTTCACACTATGTTGCATATATTTACATACTGCTTTAAGTTAGTCTCTAACGTAATCTCCTTGGTCTTCCTCTTTAAAAACGCATTTTAATATTTAGTATTATAGGACTGATAAATTCTTAGGGATAAGTAGTTAATTTCTGAGACTTAAATTGTTGGTTTAAAACTGTAAACTGCTGGCCTACATAGAAGCATTTTATCTTGGAAAATGAACATATTGGTGACTGTAAGTAATGACAGCTGTAATTCATTATTTTACAATCACATCTCAGTTGCATAACGTATTTACTTTTTGCAGTCCTATCAGTGATTCATAAGATAATTTTGTTTTTATCTGGGCAAATGATTGCTTATTTCTCTTTATCTTTTAGCTTCCCTTCATATATACTTTCTAACACTGGAGTGGTTCAGAATATATGTGAGGAATGGCACGGTGATTTAGGAAAGGTGGGAAAATTATCGGGCTTGATTCATCAGATGAAAAATTCTGGAGTCATTAAAAAATATCACTAAAAATATTTTTTCCGATTTTTACCCCCACAGTTCATAGGTGACCTTATTTTCAGTTTCCAGTCTGAACTCTCAATATGGAATCTCGGTTTACATGACACTGGTATTTGATCCCATAGATACACATCCTAGTAAAAATAAATTCGGAATACTCTTAGCTGCATTGCCACATGAAGCAACAGGAGAGATTATATCCTAAGCAGAATCTCCAATTCCTCTGGGTTGAGACAGGTTGCCCCCCCAACAACGAAGATCATTTTTTTTAATCACTAAAAAATACTGCAATCATCCTCACACTTTGCAGAGGCGGCAAGTGAACCGCGCTCATCTCGATGAACGATTTTTAACACTGACACGTGCTAGGAACTGCAAACACTGGAAGGGTCTGACATGGCAGTAACGTCGCCCTTTCACAGGTTTCTAGGGCGAAGAGCACTGCAAGCTCGGTCAGCCGAAGTCCAGCGGCCGGGGGAAAGCCGCGGACAGCAGGCAGCAGCAGACAGGAGTAAGCGGGCGCGGCGGTTCGGGCCAGTCATCCCGGCACTTTGGAGGGCCCAGGCGGGCGGGCGGATCCCATGAGATCGGGAGTTCGAGACCAGCCCGACCAAAATGGAGAAACCTCACCTCTACTGAAAATGAAAAACTAGCCGGGAGTGGTGGCGCATGCCTGTCATCCCACCTACCCGGGAAGCGGAGGCCGGAGAATCGCTTGAACCCGGAAGGCGGAGGTTGCAGTCAGCGAAGATCGCGCCAGTGCCCTCCAGCCTGGGCAACGAGAGCGAAACTCCGCCTCAAAAAAATAAAAAGGAAGCAACGGGGCGGGGGGCAGCGCGTGGGCCCAGGCGAGGGTCTCCCCGCACACGCGGCGCCGCAGCAGAGTCGACCTCTAGGACCCGCTCCGTCCCCTCCCCGGGAACCACCACAGGCGGCGGGCCCGGGCCGCGGCTCCGAGCGCGGGGAAACGAGCGCGGCGGTTAAAACCGTTACCACCCCCGAGTTTTGAACTGGTTCAAACTTGGCTTGCAGCCCCCGCCCCGCCCCCGCCCGGGAACTCCGCGGCGCAGGTTCCCGCCAAGAGTCGCGGACGCGTCGTCCCGCCCTTCGGCCGGTTCCCGCCACCCACCCTCCCCGCCTCCCGCCCGCGGCTGGCTCCGGACCCCCGCGAAGTCTCCCCGTCCCGGCCTGCCTGACCACCGCCTTCCTGAGAGGCGCCGTGTGTTCAGCGAAAGAACAAAGGGACTGGCGGCGGCGCTTCCACACTGCCAGCCGCGTCCCTCAGAGCGAGCTCCGCCGCCGCCCGCGCGCGCACGCGCCGCCAGCGCCCGCCCGCGAGCCCAGAGCGCCTTCTGCGTGGGGCTGGCTCGGCGCCTTCGAGCTCGGCGGGCCCTGTGATTGGACGGGCGCCCGCCTCGCGTCCCGCCAATCGGGGCGGCGCTTGATTGGGCTGGGGGGGCCAAATAAAAGCGATGGCGATTGGGCTGCCGCGTTTGGCGCTCGGTCCGGTCGCGTCGGACACCCGGTGGGACACAGAAGGCAGTGGAGCCCCGGCGGCGGCGGCGGCGCGCGAGAGCGACGCGCGGGAACGACGCGAGCCGGCGCGCGGGAAGAAGGTAACGCGCCCCTGCGGGCGGCCCGGCCGGCGGAGCTCCGGGAGTGCGAACCGGGCGGCGGCGGCGGCGCCAAGACCTCCCCGCCGCCGCTGTGCCGGTCCGGGGTATCGCCAGAGCGGGGCTGAGAGGGGCGCCGCGTTTGTAGGCGTGCGGGGGGTGGAGGGTGAGGGGAGACCCCCCCGGAAGGAGCTGTGAGCTTCGGGCTAGCCGGCGGTACCCCGCGAGTGCGGCAGCGCGGACCCCCAGAGCTGCGGGGCGGGGGGCGTGCGGGGGGCTCCTTTCCCGGTGCTCGCCCTGACCGGGGCGCCGGGGCTGGGGTCGGGGCGTTCCGGTGCCCAGTCCAGGGTGGCAGCCCGAGCCTCAAGTCTCCTTTGTGTGGCGCGGCCGCGGCGGGAGCGCACGGGTGGGACGGGACAGACACAAGTTGGTGGGACCCAGCCGCCGAGCCGGCACTCAGACAAAGGACGGACTGTGTCTCCGGAGGGCTCGGCGCGAGGGAAGGGGCACGACATCCCGGCCCGCCGGCGGTCGGGAGAGGGGTGTGGGGAGGCGCGGGCCGCGGCCGGGGTGGGCAGGGCTCGGCCCCCGCCTGGCGCACGCCCCCGGCCCCGGGCGCGCCGACCCCGGGCTGGGGCCGCGGCGGCTGCGGGACGGCGTTCGCGGCGGGGAACTCGGAGTAGCTTCGCCTGTGATGTTTCTCCAGGACGCAGCCCGAAACCCCCTTAGCTCCGGCGGTCCCGGGCTGCCTTCGCCGCCTGGTCTGGCTTTATGCTAAGTTTGAGGGAAGAGTCGAGCTGCTCTGCTCTCTCTTGATTGTGCTTTTGGAGTGCTTCCTGTTGAATTCCCACTTCATTGTGTACATCCCCTTCCACTCCCCCCAAAAATCTGTGCCACAGGGATAGTTTTGGGAAGCGGGAGGAATCGAGAAGCATGATCTTTTGGAAAACTTGGTGAACGCCTAGTGAGTTCCCACTTTCTGAAGAATCGTAATCCTTAAAAAAAAAAAAAAAAAAAAATTACAAGCTGTTTTGGCCAACTTGTGTGATACATCTGAGAATGGCGACAGGTGCTAACGAAATCAACTGTCATTCAGCCAACGATTATTCCCCAAATCCCAACGGGTTGAATGAGGATGAGGAGGTAGAAGTAGGTGATAGAATGCCTATGACAAATGTGCGTTTAGATTATATGGTTAGCAGTTTCTTATTAATTGGTCTTGTTTTCTGTGAACAATAGCTTTGGTGATTCAGAAAAGACTGGATGCAGAAATGTTTGTTGCCTAAGAAATTTAACGTGTGCTGTCCACAGTTAAACTTCCTTTATCACCCAGGATCTGTAAAATTTAAATTCATTTGGAAATAAAAATGTGTCTTTGCTATATACTTAAAGGCTTGTTTTTTATGTTTCAAGCAAGTCATTAGTTTTGTGGCGTTTTGATGTCACATAAAATAATATTTGATAAACCTTTGAAAAACACGAATGTTGTAGTTGAATGTAGCCTATAATTCTTGAGGTTTTGGAGTTTATTTTCTATTACTCTTCATAAGCATTAGCAACTAATTCATATTTAGGAATATGGATCGAGTGTGTAATCCTAACTTGTTGATTTGTAATTTTATTTGCAAGAAAAGTATATATATTTTAGATACTTTTGATATATTTTAGCTTCCCATTTATGGTCTCTAAAGTTAGGAATAGGTAGGATTCTAGTCATAGATATAAAGCATCTTGTTTTCTCTTTTTGGAGGTGTGCTGGGTTATGTAATATTTAAGATTTCCCAGAAACAGGGAAATAGCATCTTAAATTCTCGTTTTTGTGGAAAGTGAATATGTTCCAAGAAAAGAAGTTAGAAAAACATAGACGTTCTTCTGGTTGCACTGTCCTATCTGATAAAGATCTAATGTACATCTACTTCCTTGTGGTTTCATAAAAATGGAGACAAATGCAGTATAAATTTGTTACATATATTTTGGAGAGTGTTGACACCACTGTACAGTCATTCTAGGTGCTGGTCTAAGTGTTGAGACATAACAAAAAAGTAATGTTTATATTAGATACTAATAATTCTGTATTTAAAAAATCCGAATACTCCTGTTCCTTATGAGATGAGCTAGTTATGCAGATTTTTGGCAGAGATTCAGATATTTTAGGATAATTTTTTCTTTTTTGAGACAGAGCCTTGCTCTGTTGTCCAGGCTGGAGTGCAGGACCCATCTGTGCTCACTGCAGTCTCTGCCTTCTGGGTTTAAGCTATTTGCCTGCTTCAGCCTCCGGAGTAGCTGGGACTACAGGCATGTGCCACCATGCCAAGCTAATTTTTGTATTTTTAGCAGAGAGGGGGTTTCGCCATGTTGGCCAGGCTGATCTCGAACTCCTGACCTCAAGTGATCTGCCTGCCTCAGACTCCCAAAGTGCTAGGATTCCAGACATGAGCCACCACGTTTGGTCTAGGATAAAAATTTCTAACTTTTGCCCTTGCGTATTCTGTATTTGATAATTACTATTCTTTGTACTTGCCTTGAGATATTTTGGAAAACATCTCTGGGGAATTGGTTTAAAAATTCATCTTAAATTATTTTCTGGTACAACTTGAGAATGTATTTAGTCAGTTTAAGTAGCAGTGATTTAAAAAAAACACACTGTTAATCTAGTATAGTTAGAAAAAGTTCTGATACTTTGATACCTAGCTTTGCCTTGCACATATATATATATAAGTGAATATCTTTATGTTGGCCATTTAAAAATTTTAGGCAAATTTCTCCAAGTCATACTGGAATTTTTCCAGGATGTCTTTCTTCATTTGAGGTAGCATGCTTAAGGAGTGTGAATTTATTTTAATATTACCCTTTATATGAACAATGATTGAGAAAATTGATCTGCTTTTTAAAAACCAAGAAGAACAAATCCTCCAGTATAATGTATTCTGCAATTAATTAGAAATTATTTACGGATTAGCCTTGAAGTCTTTATATCAGTATAGATGACAAATTTTCTGTAAATCGTGATAGATTCTGTATGGGTAGGTGAAACCTTTGAGGGAGAGCGTAAGTGAAGAGCAGAAGTCCATTAAATTCAGAGAAAGCTTCATGGTCAGATGATACTTTACCTTCTGGAAGTTTTCCCTGAATTCCCAGACACTCTTGTGTTCCCACAGGTCTTGGATCATATTTTATTGTAGCATGACTCAATTATATTGTAATCACTTGTTTATGCATCCCTCTCTTCCCTACAGTCAAAGTGCCTCCCTGTAGGGCTTTTTTTTTTTTTTTTTTGTATACCTAGCACCTACATTGGTAGTTGCTAGAGAATAGGGGTTTTAAGTATAGTTAAATGAATTAAGGAAATAGAAAAAAGGTAGGGAAATAATTTGACAAAGGAATTTGCAAAGTCAACAGGATATATTAATATTCATGTCGTGAGGAGCTTAGAAGGGTATTTTTCTCCCTTTTTAAGAGGGAATGATTACAGAGAAAAATAGTTGTCAAGGTGAACAAATTCCAAGTTTTTCTAGTTATTTACTTTTGAAAACTAGGTATCTTTTAGGTGCAACTGTTACACTCAGGCAACTGGAGAGAACTTTATGAATCATCTGGATACTTAGTATCTACTTAATTTGATTAAATGTTGATATTGATGATCCCTTTACAAAAATAAAAGGAAGGAAAAGGGTGAGAGAGTAGTAGATCTTTTAATTGAAAAGTAATTTTGTTATAATTCATGAGTTCTTTATTGGAGTAAATTGAGGTAGGTTTTGGAGCTAAAACTGAAGGATGTAGTGACCATGTAATTGGATTGTTTATTGGGATGCTCCCCATCATTCTTTTAAAATGATTTAAATATGGATTAGCAAATTCAATGATACCTCCAAAGTTATAGCTGGTAAATTTCTAAGATGGCTGTACCATTCCATATCTTGCCATTGTTCCACTACTTGGTATAAAAGTATGACAAATGTGTGTATAGATTTATGGTTAACAGTATGTGTATAGATTTATGGTTAACAGTTTCTTATTAATTGGTCTTGTTTTCTGTTAACAATAGCAAGACAGAACAAGATCATAGTTCACTGCAGCCTTGAACTCCTGGGCTCAGGGGATCCTCCTGCCTCAGCCTCCTGAGTAACTGGTATTAACAGTGCACAACATTGTGCTGGCTAATCTTATTTTTTGTAGAGATGTGATCCTGCTTTGCTGCCAAGGTTGGTCTCAGACTCTTGGCCCCAAGCAATCCTCCTGTCTTGGCTTCCCAGAGTGTGGGGATTACAGCCTGAGCCACTGTGACTGACCCAGATATTTACTTTATTTGAGATGGAGTCTCGAAAGTTAATTCTTGTGCCTCAGCCTCCAGAGTATCTGGGACTGTAAGCGTTGCCCCACCATCCTCTGCTAATTTTTTTTTTTTTTTTTTTTTTTTGAGACAGATCTCACTCTCACCTAGTCTGGAGTGCAGTGGTGCCATCTTGGTTCACTGCAATCTCTGCCTCCTGGGTTCAAGCGATTCTCCTGCCTCAGCGTCCCGAGTAATTGGGATTACAGGTATGCACCACCATGCCTGTCTAATTTTTACATTTTTAGTAGAGATAGGATTTCAACATCTTGGCCAGGTTGGTCTCAAACTCCTTACCTCAGGCGATCCACCTGCCCTGGCTTCCAAAAAGTGCTAGGATTACAGACATGAGTCACTGCCTGGCCTTAGCTAATTTTTATAGGGTTAGTAGAGACTGGGTTTCACCATATTGGCCAGGCTAGTCTTGAACTCCTGACCTCAGGTGATTCGCCTGCCTCGGCCTCCCGAAGTGCTGGGGTTACTCTGTGTGTCTGGTCTGGATACTTTTTAAACATTTTTTTGGGGGGGAGAAATGTGTGCCTTTATTAGTGGAGCCACTACTTGAGGGTGATGAAGCGGGAGGAGTGGGTGGCCCCAGTGCCCTGCCGGCCGTGCTTCACAGGCTTGTAGGTGATGGGGAACTTGCCCAGGTAGTGGCCGATCATCTCTGGCT